CGTCTCCCCCGCCCCTTCTGCACCCTCTCCTAAATTCGTGTTCTTCCCCCCTTTGCCCAGACCCACTCCTCACGGTGCCCATGACTTTCCAGCGCCTCCTAGCAACTGATCAGCCAACCCACTCGGTCTCCTAGGCAGGCAGACGTGCCCCAACAGCTCCTCAAACGCCAACCAAAATACCCCCCTCCGATCCCAGGCCTTCTGGCTCTGGAGTTTTCTGTTGTCCTTTGCAGCAGCGGCTGCCCCTCACTCACTGCCCCCAACTCCCTTCTGTGGAGCAGGCTCAGCCCCACCACTCTTGCCCCGACTGCTCTTCTCAAGGACCCAGTGACTGTCACACGACCTATCAAATGGCCAGGGGCATGGGCCCATCAGCAGCACGGTCACAGTGGGTCCCTTCCTCCGGCTGCAGTGCTTCTTCCACTTGGCTCCAGGGAGACCACTCTGGTTCTCCCCCTGCCGCCGGCTGCCCCCTCAGTCTGTGTGGCTCAGTCCTGCTCACCTCGGGAACCACTCAGTCCCAAGACTCAGTCCTTGGGCTGCTGTCCCTCTCTCTCCCCAGGTCATCTTATCTAATCTTCTGGCGTAAAAAATAACATCTATTCCAGGGATTTACAACCTTGGCTGCACATTAGAATACTTGGGCGGATTTGCATCAAAATCTCTCTGAATGAGTCCCAGGTATTCCCGCCTGCAGCCCAGGTGTGGCCCCGAGCTACAGACGTGTGTCGTAACTGCCTCCTCAGCATCTCAACTCGGATGCACCACATCTGAACCTGCGCCTCTTACACCTGCGCCTCCTGCAGTCCCCCCTGCATTTGTAAGTGGCAGCTCCATCCTTCCACCTGGTCAGGTTAGTCAGCCATGACTCCTCTTTCAAATCCATCAGCAAATTCCCAGGTCTCTGTCTCCGAATCCCCCAGGCCTGCTGCTGCGGCCTAGCCTGAGGCACTGTGGCTCCTACCGGGTCCCCTGCTGCCACCTGCCCTCTCTCCCCCACCTGGCAGCCTGCATGAGCCTTTCCAGATATCACTTGTCGGAGCATGTCACTCTTCTGCTCAGAACCGCTCAGCTCTTGCAGAATAAAAGCCAAACTCCTTATAATGGCCCCAAAGGCCCTCCAGGACCCAATCCCATCTCCCGCCATAGTCCCCTCACTCCATCCTGGCCTCTCCTTGATATCCCAGAGCATACCAGACATGCTTCTGCCCCTGGGTCTCTGGGGTCCCCTGGATGCAGCACCCCTCCCCCACCCAGCAGGGCTGACTCCTTCACTCCCTGGGCTCTCTGCTCCGATGCCACTTAGCAGGGAGGGGCCTTTCCTGCACAGGGGAAGCCCCAGCCCTTTGCTCCCTAGTGCTGACCACCAGCTGCTGTATTGAGTACTTATTATCTGCTTATTCTGTCTCTCTCTTTCTTAAGCTTCACTGGGGCAGGGACATTCTTGTTTGTCCTGTTTTATCTTCAGCGCCTGGAATAGTGCCTGGCACACAGTAAGCGCTCAATACATGGTCACAGGAGTAACTGAATGAATGAGTGACCTCATGGATGCCCAATACCCTCAAAGGATACTGGGGACAGTGCCTGGTCATTGTTCCCGCCCTCCGCCCCCAAGAACAGGGAGGAGATTGGAGGATACTTCCTGTGCCTGTTTTAGGAACCACTCAGCACAGAGCCTGAGTGGGTGCAGAAGAGCTCCCTGAGCAGGCAAGTTCTCTTTTCGGCCCCTCCCTTCCGAAGCCCCCGGAGCTGAGCCCACTGGGGTAGCGGTAGGGAGGGAGCCCTGGAAGGGTGTCTCACCTGGCATTTTCCGGTGAATCTGATGGAACATTCTCCGGTACCAGTCCTTAGGGCTGTCCACACTCTGGGATCAGAAGAGGCAACGTCAGGCCACCCTCCTAATACCCAATACCCACAGAAGTTTTCCCTTACTGGGCCCTTTTCCTGTGAGCCCCGGTGGTGGTGGTGGGGGGGGGCTAGTGACGTCTTTACTGGCAATGACCTCGT